CAAGAAAGGAGAATTCATTCTGGTGCAGGCAGATTTTAAGTCCTGCCTCCGAACCCTTTGACACTACTACCATGGTGTCTGTGCTCCTTCCCTCCGAAGCGTGGCCAGCCTTGGTGACTGGCTTATCACATCAAGTGTGGTGGATGTGACACTGAGTGACTTTTCAGGATGAGTCAGTTGCTGTCCTGCCCTCCAGAACACTCACTCCAGAACCCACATTACCAGAGATTGCAGGACTGGGTTTTCAGGGAAAGGACGGTTTTCTATTTTTTATTTAGTATTTATAGATTTTCATTTACTATTTGTCCCTTGTCAATCAACATACCATCTTTAGGGAATTCAAAGAGAGGAGGAAAGGCCATAAAAATGCAGAATCTGGCCATTCCTGGATTCTCCAGCCACAAAACCATCAAACTACACCATTAACCTCTGACTTACAATTGCCAAAATAACAGTGTCACTAGCGGTCACTGTAATCTTAGAAAATATATAAATATTTAAGACAGGGCAGATTGAAAATGTGTCTATTCTTCCATTTTATACCCTAGAAAGTTCTATCAAATTCATTTGCTGTAAATCCCTGAAAAAATCTGCCTAACTTTTTACTTCCTATATTTCTAGTCTAACAAATCTCAGTACTAATGTTAGTTTGAAGGTATTACCTGAAAATATTTCAACAAAACATCTTCTCTTAGTGAAAAATCATTAAACAATTGTTATGTTAATAAAAATTAGTTTAAAAAGTCTCCTCATACCTAAAATAAACTTTCATCTTATTAAATCAACAAATACTTATGGATAAGGAACTATGAGGTAAAAAGTTGTAACAGAGTCCTTGTCTTCAAAACTTTTACAATAAAAATAAGTACGTAACTAAATATGGGGCAAAATATGGTAAGCCCTATGAAAAATGCAACAGGAGAGCCTGTCCGATAGCACAGTAGTTAAGCCCTATACATAGGAGTCTGATCTCACACGGCCAACCATGGTTCAAATCACAGCCCCAGTGGCTTAAGAAAACACACCAGTCACATGGATGTCCACAATCCCGATGACATATTATGTGTGTCCAAAAACAAGAAGAGATCACATGCAGTTGGAGCGCCAAGAGCAAAATGCACAAATGATTTGATGTACCTCTCCAAACCCAAGTATTTTAGTTCACTTTGCCTTTGTCTACTCCACTGAAATGAGTAAGTCCCTCAAATCTTAAATTTTGAAGCCCCCTTTCAGACTACACTCCAGGTTTCTGTTACAGGGAAATTCTTATTCCCTCTTTCATGTAACTCCATGGAGGGGAAAGGACCACTGTTTACAGCCCAGGGGAAGGCCAGTGACTAATCTAATCGGTAGGACTGTGAGGCTCTGAGGTTTTTCCACCCCCATCCTACTCCAGCCTCTCTCAGAGGAAGGAAGAATAAGCAACTGTATGCCGCCAACAATTTATCAGAAGCTCTGTACTCAGTGGTTATTCAGTCCTGCTCAGCCATCAATAACGCTGTCTTTTACTCCTCATGTTTTATTCTCAAAAAACCAGAACTGTAAGGGGCAAAATGGGTGAGTTATTGGTCCCTCAAACATCCAGCTATCCCTTTATTTTTCTGCTGAATATGCCCTATGATGGTAGGAGCTTCGGGAGACTCCTGGACTCCAATAACAGGGCATGCGTAGAATTTGAATACGCAGGTGCAGTCCATAGTGACCATGTAGTCCTACTCCCATGGCAACTTAGCAATCCTGACTTTACAGCCCTATTTTAACAGCAATTCAGCAATTCTGTAACTTTTGTATGCTTGAGTATCTGACAGCCTAGAGGCCCAGTGCGTAATTCTGTAAGCAACTTTATCATCCAAGTTACCTCAAAAGTATGCAAAAATGTGTATAACCATATATGGAAGACAAAGAAACTCAAACAAATAAAAGGGAGAGCCCCAAGAAATTTATGGTTCAGCCTTTGGATCTGAATCCTCTGAGCCGGTGGTAGCACACAAGTAAATTGTTGTGTTCCTGCAAAAGCCTCAGTGTCCTGTCTCTCTCATGCGTATGCTCAATATCCCGCTACAGGATAATCCATCTGCCTTGGATCAATTAATTTGTTTGGACTCTACTTCTATTTAAAGAAAATACGGTAGATACTGGAATTGAAAACCTTACCAAACTTATCTCCAATCTCTAGTTGATTCTATTTAGTACACAGTAATCTTCTACAGGTCCCTGTCCTTTTTGAACTCTTTTTTTCTACAAAAACTACTCCAAACCATCCTAAACTTTTAGTCCTAGCACATAACCTTGTCCTTCAATTTTACTGAGAAAAGAGTAACATCTGGATTTGAAACAAGTTAACTTCCTAGACACACCTATCCCTACAACTTTCTGCCTCCCATTCAGCACTAATCTCTTTCTCTTTTTTTTTAGAGGTTTTTGCCATAGGGGGCATGCATTTGTCAGACAGACAGAGAGAGACAGAGAGACAGAAAGGGAGAAATCACCCCCTAGAGGAGATGGCCATGCCACAAACCCTTCTCCTCCATTCTCCTCTTGGGAGAGGATCTGGGACACGAACCTGGTCTGGGACACGAACCGCAGTCGGCTACGTGGGAGTACAACGACATAGCCATTACACTAACTGCTGGTCCCAGCACTAATCTCTTAATCTGAGCTCTGGTTCTTATGTTCTTCAGCTCACGTGACAATCGTGTTCCATCACTCGTTTCCTCTCTCCTGAATCCCCTTTCGGTTCTAATAATTCTTTCCTCTCTGCATATAAACACTCAGAACCTGGGTTTTTTTGTTGTTGTTGTTTTTTTTTTGTTTTGTTTTGTTTATTTTAAGCAAAAGGACAAGAAAACCAAAACTCTCTTGTAGCCTAAACATTCTTCAAGTCCTAAGTCATAGCTGGTCTTCTTTGAACCGCCAAGCTTTTGGAAAAAGTCATCTACCTTGGCTCTGCCTTTCATTGCGCATTCACAGAGCAGCCTAATGCATGCTACTGCTCCACTAAAACTGCTCACACCCGTGTAGTCAAATGATCTCCAAGTTAAAAAATTTAACAGTCAATTTTGTTTTCTTTCTTTCTTTTTTAATATGCCAGAGAGCATGTGCACTTACTAGAGACAGAGAGAGAGAGTGAAGGAAAATGAGAAAGAACTCCCAGGATGGTCGTGCTGTAATCTCTTCTCCTTCACTTCTTCCCCCTCCCCTCTTTGAGCTTTTGGGCATATATGCAGACATGTCTGGCATGCCCTGGGTCTGGGACTCAAACCACTCAGTTGGTCAGGTGGGAACCAGCTAACCTGAACCAACACACACCATGGGCTGGCCCAACAATCAGGCTTCAATTCTGCTTTGACTTGACTTTTACAGTGTTGGACATTTAACAACCTCCATTTTGAAATTAACAACCTCCATCTCTTCTACTGGGTTTTTGTAACATCTATGGCCTCCTAATTCTCCTCTGTACGAAGAATGCTTCCTCCCTCTGTCTTTATTGGTCAAACCTTACATTTTAATATTTGCCCGGGATGCTATTCTTGTCATTCTTCTCAGAAATTAAACTCTCCCTGGAGATGGGAGAGAGGAGAAGGAATATTTACCCTATGAATTATTCCACATGTTCATAAATCAGTAAGACTAATCTGAATTCATTTGCTTCTTTCCCCACTCCATCCATCCCTTCTAGTGCTCACCTCTACCATGGCCCTGCCTTGCATTTGTTTATCTCTCTTCCCTGCCCTGGCATGTCCAAGGTATGAACATAACACACTACTGTCATTAGCAGTGGCTTCTTAGAGTGGGGACTAGCAGGGTAGGTGGAAGTGACAATAACAAAAGCAATGCATCTTAGAGGACCTAATGAATATGCATTATAAAAAGGATCCCACACGAACTTCCCTGAACTACACTGTAAATATCTTCAGATTTTACACACGTATCTATAATCTTTGAATCCCTGTGCTTAAGCACAAGCACTTGGCAGAGTGGGAACTCCATTCACATTATGTGAACGAAAGAAGGAGAAGAATAATAGAATATCTGGAATAAGCTTTGAAGAACTACTAGGATTTCAAAAGTTATAGACAGGGATGGAATCATTTAAGCCAGGGAACGAGAAAGCCCAGGCATAGACAGAACTGCTGAACTGGTGGGGCAAAGAAGGACAAGTAACTACTAGTCACACTAGAATGCTGAGGCATGGGGGCCAGCAAGTGGCATAGTGGTTAAGGCACTGAACTCCCACATGTCTGACCACAGTTCGAGTGCAGGACCCAGAGGCCTGAAACTCACACTGGGCACATGTGTGTGCGTTCCTAAAAATCCCAAGAGGAGAATGGAGAAGGGATTGCTATGTGGCCATCCGCCTTGAGGGTGATTTCTCCCTTTCTATCTCTCTTTCTCTCTCTCTCTCTCTCTCTTTCTCCAGTGAGCCTTATGTCAAAAATCTCTATTTAAAAAAAAGGGAAAAATAAAGAAAGCTGAGGCATGCTCTCACGAGACTTGAAGATTGAGCTGAACATGCAATTTGTAGGCAACAAAGAGCCAGTGAGGTCTTTTAGGCAATGTAATTTATGATTAGAAAAGAACCTGGAACAGAGGGTGCCTGTTAGATAGCTACAAATGAATTACCTAAGAGAAGAAATGAAGACCTGAACCACTTAAAAAAATATATTTTTAAGGTTGAAATTAAATAATTTTTTGAATATTCAAGAGCAGTAGAATTAACTGAAATATCAATTTAAAGGGCATGAAAAGTTTAAAATACTAAAACTAAGAAGTCTAAAAAGGAAAAAGAAAAAACATTAAAAGTACACTTAACTGCAGGTTTACTAAGCCAAACTGTCATGAATAGTTTGAGGGTGTTAGAAGCAGAGTTTACTGTGTTGGTAAGAACTCCAACATGCATAAGCTGACCCACAGCTGTAATTGAGTAGGGCATACTGTACATGCTTGAGAAAGGTCATTTGATCACTCTTGAGTAGGGAGGTGGCAGAATGTAACCATACCGTGAAGCTGTTGTTAGCATTTTTTGTGCTTGCTTCAGCTACACTGGCATCTGAGAGGTCAACTTCATCAAATATCAGAGACTGTTGATGAAAAAGAACACAAACACGTTAAATGAAAACCTAACTCAAGGCTCCTCAACACATTTTCACTATCAGACCATGATTATGAAGCTACATCAGGATAGGAATAGAGAATGAAAAAAAAAAGTTAGGTTAGTGATGCTTTGCAACTTTTTTTTAAACACAAGGTTTCATTGTGTTGTGATCCTCCTACATTAGCCTCCCCGTTAGGACTGCAGGTGCAGGTGGTCCAGCTTGTTGAGTGAGACAGACCACCCTCAAGCTTATAATCCTCCTGCTTTGGCTTCCCCTAGTCACTGGGGTTACAGATGCATACCACCATGCCCAGCATTTACCAGGAGTCAAACCTGGGCCTTCTATATGGTCCCAACCTGTAGACTGCAGTGGCTTAGCAGTGTGGACCATGCAGCAGAGTCCTTCTTAGGAAGGATAAGTAAAACCATAAAGTACAACTAATCCATAAATCCCAAACCAAAAAGATCTGTAAAGAACCCCCATGTACACTGTTCAGTGCAAATGTTCTATGCTTTCTGGAAGGAGAACAGCTACCATTTATAGGGAGCCTACTGATACACACAAAGACAACGGCTCATTAGCTTATAACAACAACTCTGCCATGGAGGCAGAGACAACATCACTTTATTCAAGTTTGCTAAGTGAAAACTAAGGAGCAGTTGTGGCTCAGATCATGGTGAATAACTGAACTTTCTGAACCTCATTTTCCTCATCTAGAAGTGTTGGTTCAAATGACATGATGAATGTGCTCTGCAAATAAAAGATGACATTTCTCTTCTACACTTGTGAGTCATTTTAACCAAAAGGTTTCAATGGTTAAAAACTCCAAAAAAAAGTGAGACTTTAAAATTAAGCAATTAGCAATTAGGAAATTCTAGTAAACAGATGTCTTTTTCTCATTTGTAATGGGATGGTCATTGCTCCATTCATTCAGTGTCCTTCCAGCCAGGCAGGAACCTCTAGAACTGCAGAAAAGGGGGCTCCCTTTTTCTGAATGCTTCCAGTCCCTGCCCCTCTACCATCTCCAGAAGGTTATGCTAATCTACCTCTGTTCAACCAAATCTGGCTATGTGACTTGATGCCTGACTGGAAGGAACTCACAATCTATACAGCACAGGAGATGAAACAGACACAGGCAGCACTAAGGTAAGACAGGCTATTAAATGTAGAAACGGAGAGCTTAAACGAAATGTTATGGAAGGTCACTGATGATTTCTCCAGCAGACAACAACGGAACTGCCCTTGTGAATGACTGACTAAGGACTATTTGAAGGAGAATGAAGAGAAAACAGGGAATCTAGTAAAAGTGAAGATAGAGAGAAAGTCATTCTGCAGCTGAAAAGCATGGACCAGAGCTGCAGGCCGTCCAGTAGTGAATGCTGACTAGATATAAATGAGGAAAGTCCAGATGGAGCCAGGTCAGGGACGAGCTTGGACATGATGACTTTTAAAACAAGATTATTATACTTGGTTATTATTTCAGCAGCAGTATGAACTAAGAATTAGGTTTGTTTGTTTACTTGTTATTACCTCTTAGAGCAGAACTCTGAATATATCAAAACATACATTTTTAAAAGATAGAAATCATTAATTATTCCACTGGCACAGTTGCATGAAATTTTAACAAAAAAGAAATCAAGAAAATAAAAATTTGAAAGGGTACTAAAATATCGGTTTTAAATGGAGGCTTATCATTACAAATGTTTCACTTAAAACTGCATTATTATTATTTTATTCAACAGTTACATCAAACTTTTTTAAGTCCTGATTTTATTTCAATATTTTTCTTTTTCTTTCTTCTTTGTCAGAGAGTGCATGCACTTGATAATGAGAGAGACAGCAAGAGAGAGAGAGATGGGAAAGCATCCCCCAGTGGAGCATGTTCACGCTGTAATCTCTTCTCCTCCATTTCTCCATCCTGTCATTATTTGGAGCCTATAGGTGCACATGCCTGGCAACTTTTCAAGTTGACAGAGTTGGGATTTAAACTGTAGTTGGCCATGTGGAATCTTGCTCCATTAACCTAGGCCATGGAGTCAGTCCTCAGTATTTTCATTCCTTTATTGCTGGTATAACAGAGTGATTATTTTGTGTCTAAGTCTGTAAGCATTTAATATGAATTATCTTCCTTAAGCCTCTTCTTAACAACACATGCTCTTCACGGCCACTCCACTGGAATGTGCTAAATTGGGGATGTGAGTACGTGTCTGAATTCAGAGCATGGATTTCCTAGCGACTATAGCAATTCCCTCATAGTCAAGGAAAGATTTACAAGGTGGGAAACCCAAAACTTCAAGTTTATTTTATCTAATAAGGTTACATTTAAGGTTTTATTTGAAAGAAAATGAGAAAGGAAGAAAGGAAGCAACTTACACTAGAGCCTTCCTATAAGATTATCCTTAAAGACATTTATGGAATTGAGTCACAAAGACCCTGTTGGGATGGAGTCTGGGATGGATCACATTCATACTGAATACACATATGAATGACAATGATATAGTTGGCTCCAAGATAAAAACAGATTATTGAACCAAAATTTTAAATCCATCTACAGCCTCAAATGCTTGCAACTAATTTCTCTCAAATTACCTTTGAGTCCTTTGCATAATAAAGTGTACGGCCTCGAAGTTTGAAGTATCGCTTTTTCCACCTTTGGAAAGAACTGGTTTGCTTCAATAGCTGTCCCTCTTTAATACTGGTCTGGGGAGAAGCAGAAGCACAATGACACGATTAAAATGAAACTCAAAACAAAGTAAAATTCAGAATCAATGACATATGATCATTAACATTTTGAATATTTCCCATGTCTTGCAAATTACATGAGAGAATATTTTTCTTCTCATAGTTGAATCAAGGGAGCACATGTGCAAAGTCCCAAAGAATTACAGTGAATTTGACATGGTTCCTTGACCTCGAAAAATTCACACACAGCATGGAGACCCATGCACACAAACTAATACTTGCAAGACATGGTCGCATTGCTTTGCAAACAGTGGAGATGCAACATAATGTAATGATTATGAAAGCCCGTACACTCAGGAGCCAAACACCTTAGGTTCACCTCCTGGTACCACCACCTACAGCTGGATGATCTTCAGCAAGTTACCAAACTTTCTTATGCTTTTATTTATTCATCTGTAAAACAGGGTTAAGATTAGGACATACCTTACACAATTCTTGTGAGGAATAAATGAAAAACAATGAAGGACTTAGTACCTGGCACATAGGAAGTGCTCATTAAATGTACCACCAGCTACGCACTACTGTAATAAATGCACGTACAAAGTACTGTGCACGGTGATCCTACAAAGGAATCATTCATTCACCTGGTGGGAATGGAAGTCCTCCCAGAGAAAGCCCCAAAGTGGATCTTGAAGGAGTTAATCAGAAAATTTACCAGAGGAGGCCATTTCAGATGTGTGGAAAGGTTAAAAGGTTTAAAATAGCATGGACATTTGGGGAACTTTCAAAGAGCTTTTTGTTATAAATGGAGTGAAGGGTTTTCAAGGGTAAGTAGCAGGTGACACAGACAAAGAGGTGGGCAGCGGTTCTATAACTCAGGCCAGACCCTGTGTTAAGTGTTTTCTGTATGTTAGTTCATTTCATTGCCACCAACAATGTATTTAGAACCGCTTTGTGTCATCTATTGTAGTATCTCTCCTTCTTTTGGTCCCTTCCATCCACAGTGACTGCTCTGCAGTTAAGTCACCATGTATACGCCTGCCTTAGCCTGGGCACTACTGACTCTCCCCCGGACTGCTCTTCCCTCACACAGCATCTGCTAACTCCTTCCTCTCCTGAGTCTCTGACCTCCTCAGTGAGACCCTCTTCACCAACCACCTGCTTAATACTGCAACCAGCTCTCCATATTTTCTCCCATCCTGACCTTATTACCCACCCCTACAAAGTATCTATCTCCTAATATATAACGTAATTTACTCACTTAATATGTTAATTGTGCTACTCGTATTAGAATATAAGCTCTCTGAATTTGTTATGTCTAATACAGTTAAAATTAATGTTTCATCTTAATTGGAACTAAAGAGGAAAGCAAGAGAGTAAGGAAGAAAGCGAAAGAGAGAGAGAGAGAAAGCAAGCAAGCAAGCTGCATGAGAGCCTTCCTGTAAGACTGTCATTAGGGAACATGTCACAGACTAGCACAAACAGACTTCTTAGGATGGAGTCCAGGATGGATCATATTTATAAGGAATTCAATAAAAGAGAAATAAAGTATCAAGTGAGCTTCCAAGACAAAGTAGCTTCCTGAACCAAAATTTTAAATCAACCCCCCTGGAGCCGGCTGGTAACCTGGTGGTTGAGGGTGCTGGACTCCCACATGGCCTACCATGGTTTGAGTCCCAGACCTGGCAGCTTTCTTTCTCACTCCCCCTCCTACTCTGTCCCTCTCTGTTCAAATAAAAATAAATAAACAAATAAATAAAGTTAAATAAAAAAATAATTCTTTAAAAAAATAAATAAAATCACCCCCCTGAACTGTGCACTAACACGCACCTAGAACATTATCTAGCACATATAATAAGGACATCTATATGAATGAATGGTAGGTGCTGAGATGAAACTCTTATCTGCTCGATTCCAGAATTTATTCCTAATTTTCACACCATACTGTCTCAAGGCACACAATGTTGAGGAAAGTTTACTATCTCCAGTAAGATGGTTCAGTTATATATAGTCATATATCACATAAGAACGTTTCAATCAATGATGACTCAAAAGATGACCCCATAATGAACCTGAAAAATTCCTATTCCCTAGTGATGTCATAGCTATCCAAACATCTAGCACAATGCATTGCTCACATGTCTGTGGTGATGCAGTGTAAAGAAACCTACTACATTACCAGTTGTATAAAAATACGACACGTACGATTATGCACAGAACATAATACTTGATTATAGTAATAAACAACCATGTTACTGGTTTATATATTTGCTATGCTATACCTTTTTATCACTGTTAGAGTATACTTCTACTTGTAAAAGAATACAAGTTTACTGTAAAATGGTATACCATGTTATGCCAACAACATACATGCATGTTCACACATCTCTCGATGCATCATTTTCTCTTGTGCTTGAGAACTCTTGATGTTGTTCTGCTCACTATGACCCTTCCAGTGGGACAAGATGTGGAGGCGGAAGACGCAGATAATGGTGATCCTGACCTCGTGTAGGCTTTGGCTAATGGGTATGTTTGTGTCTGTATTGTTAACAAAAAATTTAAAAACTAAAAAAGAAAAATTCAAAATAAAAAAAAAAGGTTAGAGAACAGGACAGCAAAGAAAATATTTTTGTATAGCTGTATAATACATTTAAGCTAAGTGTTATTTTAAGTCAAAAAGTTAAAAAACAATTTAAAAGTTTATAAAGTACAAAAGTTACTGTCTGCTAGTGTTAATTTATTATTGAGGAAATAACAGATTTCAAAAATAAATTTAGCGTAGCCTAAGTGTTGAGTGTTTGTAGTCTGTTGTAGTGTATAGTAATGTGGGCCTTCGCCTTCACTCAACTCTCACTTGTTGCCCAGAGCAACTTTCAGTCTTGCAAGTTACATTCAAGGTTAAGTGCTCTATACAGGAATATCATCTTATAATCTTTCATAGTGTATTTTTACTATACCTTTCCTATGTGTAGATATGTTTAGGAACACATAAACTTACCATTGTATTACAGTTGCCTACAGTATTCAATATATTAGGCTGTTGGAAAAATCATGACCTATTTTTCTACACAAAAATGCATCGTGGCTTTTCCAACGACCAAATAGCTAGGAACAAAAGACTTTACCAGATAGCCTAGATGTGCAGTAGGCTACACCACTAGGTTTGTATGAGAATACTCTATGACATCTGCATGATAATGAAACTGCCTAATAACACATTTCTCAGAACATATCCCCATAATTTATCAGTGCATGACTGTATTAATGTCTACTTTCAAAGAAAGCAATTTACTTAAGCACGTGCTCTAAGATAATCCTCCAGGAACCGTTGTAAGATCATTGCAATTTAATAGTAACAAAACACTTTTGAAACTTCAGGACCAAGGAGCCGATTTTAAGTCAGGCAGACACACTTCAAGCCAGACACCACTACATATGAACAGGGTAAACCTGGGTAACGCTCTAACTCTCTATGCCCCAGTTTCCTCTACTAAAACATGAAAGAACAACAGCAATACCACAAGTTTGTTGCGTCTAATTTAATATAAGATAATTATAAGATAACGGCTGGAGAGCGAGCCACTTAGCATACTGTCTGGGTTACAGAAAACCTTCAATAAATGGCAAAAAGTGTTATTATTATGATATCATTATGCTATTAAGTTCAGGGAGTATTTGCCAGGCATCAGATTATAAGAGCTTCTTGGAAGAAGTAAATAAGTGTTCGCAGACCACTGTCAGGGCAAATAACAGTTGGAGTAGAAGGAGAGTACCAAGAGACGAGGTTATGGGAGATAAGAGCCAGGGTGCGCTGGACACAACAGGGAGTCTGCGTTTTTTGTTGTTGTTGTTGTTGCAAATGCAAAAAGCTAGTGAAATGTTTGAGTGACAAGGGGGAAATGGGTGAGAAAGGAAGGGGAGGGCCAATTAGGAAGCAGCTGCAGGAGCCCAGGGGAGGGACAAGATAGGCACTAGAATTAGGGTATAGTATTTATTATCTATTGCAATGGAGAGAAAAGGAGGAATTTGATAATTTATTGTGGAGAGAGTCTCTATGGAATACACTGATCCACATAAAGGGTAAAGGAGAGGCAAAGAACCAAAGAAAATAATAATATCTATATGCATTTGTCTTGGACAACTAAATGCAAAAGACTGAGCAAGAAAGAGGGTAATAGGAGAGGGTAGAGTGTTTGAGAAATCAAAGGTAAGGAGAACCAAAGCTCAAAAGATTCACTTACGTTCATGAGGGGAGTGCACTGGTGAGGAAGACTAAAATGTACTATAATTAAATCAGTGAAAGCCATAAATTCATTTTAGGTCAAAATCTCCCAGGAATAGCCCTAACCCATTCACAGAAGCCGTCATCGTGAGATCAGAAGTAAATGGGAACCATGCACTAGGGTTATCCATCCACAGGTTCCTTCTAGCCCAAGAAATAAAGCCTTCCTTTGTGCACACGGTACATGTACATGTGCTCTCTATCACAAACGAAAGCAAATTTTTAAAATTTTAACTTTGCCAGAGGGCATATGCACTCATGAGACAGAGAGAGAGAGAGAGACAGGAAAGTGAGAAAACACCCCTCCCCATTCAGCATGGTAACACTGCTATCCCTTCTCTTCCATTTCTTCCTCCTTTTGGGAGGAATCAGCTGTGCTGATTCTCAAACTGCCGCGTCTGAGATTCAAACTGCCAGGTAGACCATGTAGGATACAGCCACCTTAACTATGATGCTATGAGCTGGCCCAAATAAATTTAAAAACATAATAATAAAGCACCAAATCAAAGGCCACTGGTGTGCATATGCTCTCTATCATGAATAGAAATAAATAAACCTTTTTTTTTTAATTCTGCTGTAGGATGTGTGAGCTCACTAGGAGAGAGAGAGATAGCGAGCAATTAAGTAAGAAAGTAATCCCCAGAAGGGATGGCCATGTCACAATTCCTTCTCCTCTATTCTTCTTTCAGGATTTTGGGCATGCAGGCACATGAGTCTGGCATGTTTTCAAGCTGCTGGGTCTATGATTTTAACTGCACCGTCAGCTATGCAGAATCCAGCCACCTTAACCACCATGCCACTGGCTGGCCCAAAATATAACTGTAATAAAGCACCAAATCAAAGGTGGTGGAGGATTTTCAGATTTTCATTATAAAATGGGGTCTTAGGTACTTGTTAGGTTTGATTTGGGATTGGCGGCAGAGTCAGAGGCAGAAAGATGAAGAACCAGAGTCAGGCTTGGGATTTATCAAAGCCAATAAAATTTATTCTGCAAAAAGCTCTCGGGTGAGGTCTCTTGGTCTGCTCAGAGGCAGAGGGAGTCACACCCAGGGTGGGTGCTGCTCATTTTTAAAGGGCCGTTGTCCAATAGGTGGTCGCCACGGGTCCTTGTCTGGCCAATGAAGGTCGCTGTTCCTGTTCAATTCTGGCAGTGCGCCAAATGCAGAGGGTGGGAAAGTCCATTGGTGATGGCATACCAGATGCAGAAAACAGGAATGTTCCTGCCAGTGGGAAAGTTTCCGCCATGTTTCATTTCCCTTCCCCCAGACCTTACAGTACTTGAAAAAGGTTAAAGAATGACAACAGGCAATTCTCCAGGAGAAAGAAACCTGGTCATGAATCTTCAAATTGTTCAGTAAAAAGGGTTAAGGCAAACAAAAGAACAGTTCCAAGCAGGTACCATTTTACAAAAGGCAAAATGATTCCAAGCAGGTGACATTTTAGAAAAAGGCCAAGTTCAAGCATAAGGAAAATATGATACACTGGGGCCAGCAAGTGGCATAGTGGTTAAGGCACTGGACTCTCACATGGCTGACCATGGTTGGAGTCCCGGACCTGGCAGCTTGAAAATCACACCAGGTGCATGTGTGTGTGTGCCCAAAATCCTGAGAGGAGAATGGAGAAGAAACTGCAGCATGGCCATCCCCTCTGGGAGGAGATTGCTCACTTTACCTCACTGTCTCTCTCTTTCTGGCAAGTGCGTGCACTTTACAGCAAAAACCTTAACACACACACACACATATAATCACTGAACAATAAAAACAAAAGGCCAAGGGAAAGTATATGAACAAACCTCATAAACATAAGCTCAAAGGAACAACCCAGAGTGTGACCAGGGCTATGGAGAAAGGGATTTCAACCAGAAAACAAAGTGAATGGACCAAAGATGGTGGAAGAACACTGCTGCCCAGAAAGAACAAAGAGGAACCTAGAGAATTAAAGCACTGTACACATAATCTATTATAGACTTGTGGGCATCAAAGCATTAGGGGAAATGCCTGTGACTTAACGGGCTGTGATGACAAGAAACGCCTGAGAAGACAGACATGGTTTTAAATTTCTGCCAGGTTAACTACTATCATAAAACTGAGTACATAATTTACCTTACTAGCATATGGTTTATAGCCTCAAGTTCTCTTTAAGAAGTGGTTCTCAACCCTGGCTACTATATATCCAAATTACTGGGAGTTGTAAAAATACTGATTCCGGGCTGCCACCTCAAAGATTCTCATTAATTTGCATAACTTAATTTGAAGCCCAGGTAGCAGGATTTTCTACATCCCCCAGGTGATCCTAACATGCAGTCACGCCGTTGGACCACTACCCTGGGAAGTCACCTGCATGTCCAAACCAATGATGTCTGCTGCAGTTCACATAGTGGGGAGGTTAGAGAAGCCTCCTGAGGAACAGCAGGGAGCAAGGAAAATCTTACTCCTAATAAGCCTCACATGGCAGCAGCAAAGAGTGTCAGCTTCCAAATCAGAACCAGGAGGACATTTTCCCATAGAAATCACATCAGATATGATGGAACTATAAGAAGTTCATGGAAAAATGGAATTGCAATACAAGTTATTTTACTGCAAAAAATATCTGAAATCCATACAGTTCATAAATATACATTTTCCATATGCTTTTTGAAGACCCCCTTAAATGTCATATATTATTGCAAAAACCATGCAAGGATTTCAATTTTTTTGTGTGTCAAAATAAATTCGGACTTCAATTCATTTTTCCTGGAACTGTTTTAGGTCCCTCATATTTGTCTTAATAGTTAAATCCTCAAGCTACTCTACCTGTGTCTAGGATACCAGTTACCCAGTTCCACAATGGGTGTCATGGCACATCTTTCAATGGAATGAAGACAGACTGTCTTTTTTTCTGTGCGACTTCCCTGACAGCCAAGAATTCTCTTTCCTTCCTCTTTTGAACTGAAGCTCTACTGGTGAGAAGGAATTAATTCTTTTTTTTATTTTTTTTTTTTTTTTTGGAGAGAGAATTTTCGCTTTGGGGGCGGGGCGCCAAAGAGTGTCAGCTTCCAAATCAGAACCAGGAGGACATTTTCCCATAGAAATCACATCAGATATGATGGAACTATAAGAAGTTCATGGAAAAATGGAATTGCAATACAAGTTATTTTACTGCAAAAAATATCTGAAATCCATACAGTTCATAAATATACATTTTCCATATGCTTTTTGAAGACCCCCTTAAATGTCATATATTATTGCAAAAACCATGCAAGGATTTCAATTTTTTTGTGTGTCAAAATAAATTCGGACTTCAATTCATTTTTCCTGGAACTGTTTTAGGTCCCTCATATTTGTCTTAATAGTTAAATCCTCAAGCTACTCTACCTGTGTCTAGGATACCAGTTACCCAGTTCCACAATGGGTGTCATGGCACATCTTTCAATGGAATGAAGACAGACTGTCTTTTTTTCTGTGCGACTTCCCTGACAGCCAAGAATTCTCTTTCCTTCCTCTTTTGAACTGAAGCTCTACTGGTGAGAAGGAATTAATTCTTTTTTTTATTTTTTTTTTTTTTTTGAGAGAGAGATTTTCGCTATAGGGCGCGTGCGCTCGCCAGACAGACAGAGAGAGACATAGAGACAGAAAGCGAGAAATCACCTCCCAGGGGGGATGGTCACGCCGCAATCCCTTCTCCTCCATTCTCCTCTCGGGATCATGGGCACGCACGCACACGCACCCGGCGTGAGTTTTAAGCCACCGGGTCCGGGACGCGAACTGCGGTCGACTATGTGGGAGTCCAGCGACATAGCCATTACGCTAACTGCTGGTTCCCGAGAAGGAATTAATTCTGATACAACTGCAGGAAAATGAACAGGAAGGTCATTGGTAAATTAGGAGTTCAATCTCAAGCGAGGATCTGTTATACGTGTCTTTTCACCCCATGCTGGATTGTAAACTACTTGGAGTCTGGGAAGTTTATCTCATTTGCCTTTGTACCTTCCATTGTGAAGGTTCTACAATATTTATATAAGTAATATATATTTACATGAGAAATATGCATATTACTTTCATGGAAAGAAGTGGTCTAAGTTCCAAACAACTAGTTCATAAACAAACTACTTCTGGAACAAAATCTAGTTGTGAGTTGAGATCTGTATATAAACAGGAAAATGGGAAGAAAGTAACTTTTAGAATGATGATTCATAAACTTTGGTTGGATCAAGAAGTCTTTTTAAGATCTGATGAAAGTTATGACTATGGTATCTCCAGAAACATGCACATTATACATTATAAATGACATAAAATTTTAGGGAGTTTGTGATTCTGGATCCATCATAACTTAACATAATGACCACCATTTATCATTAACTAGATGAATTTTTTGGTTGCTTTTGCCTTAATGGATATTGGTATTTGAACTTTTTCTTCAGATAGGTTACTAGTCTCCTGAGGAATTCAAAACAGCATAAAAATATTACTTAGGAGGTTAGGAAGCAATAACTAATACATGTGGGGTTCCAATTTCCTGTTGGAATTGTAGCAATAGTTAATAACTACAGCTCATAACCAAACATATTCTAAAATATTTTCTAATTTGAAGGTACACTGAAAAATACTCTTATTAATTCCATTTGTAAATTTGGTTTTTGGAATTACTACACAGTGGTTCTACCCATGATCATTAAAGAAAATGTTATTTTATAAAAAAGGAAAAAATTTATTTGAACTGTAATAGTCATTTTTTCAACACACAAACAAAAAATTTTCATTCTATGTTTTTTGTCCAGTTTTATTTTCAAACCAAGATTAGCGATCTGGAACCTTTGGGTTGACATGTTATTTTCACTCTGAGGCTAAGGAGCTCAATTAGCACCTACACCTCAAGAACCTTGAATAACCAAACAACAGCTCAGAAAGTTTTTAGTGTCCTATCCAGTTTCACAGTTGATTGCTTCATAAAGTATCCACTTGCAACTCATAAAAGGACCCTTCCACAGAGAGGTCAATAGATAAAAAGAAATATATTAGAAATGACAGTAGAAAGGAAGTATCAAAGACTGCATTATTAAAGTACTAGTAATTTTAGAGTTTCTTTTTAGAAAAAATGAATCTTCACACCAGACAAAGACATCAAAGCAATGAAGAAAGATAAAAATAAGATTTAGTATGGTAAATAAAAATGTTATTAATCTGATCAAAAAGGATTATGAGACTACATTATAAGACTACATTGCATAACAAGGTGAATAGCATTACTGGAAATACTTTTAGCAATTATTAAGATAGTAAATTTTGTTATGCATTTTTTTCACCACGATAAAAATTAATTTTTAACAAAAAAAGAAAACATTATAAAACTCTTGTTAAATCACCTGGAAAGCCCTTGGGATAACAGTTAAAAAATCTTTAAGAGGGGCCAGCAGGTGGCAGAGTGGTTAAGGCACTGGACTCCCACATGACCAACCACAATTCGAGTCCTGAACCCGCGGCTTGAAACTCATGCCAGGTGTGTGTGAGTGCCCAAAATCCTGAGAGGGGAATGGGGAAAGGATTGTGGCATGGCCATCCCCCTGGAGGGTGATCTCTCACTTTCTCTCTCTGTCTCTCCAGCAAGTGCAGGTGCCGTATAGCAAAAATCTCTCTCAAAAGAAAAAACAAAAAACAAACAAAAAAAAAACCTCTTTAAGAGGGTAGTGTCAGTATCTTCTCATCTAACACAGAAAAACCATATTGGATGAGGAAACTGTCTCACAGTGTGAGACAGAACTGAGGACTTACACATTGGCGCCTACAGCATGAGTATTGAAATGTTATAACAATGTAACTTATTCAAAGAATAAACCATCTGGAAATTCAAATTGTAGGAGTGGTGTACAGGGATATTTTCTGAAAGTTCTGTTTAAGGCAATAAAGAAAAGTTAGTGTTTGATCTACTTATGTTCTTTAAGTATTGTTTTAAGAAGCACAAATGACCTACTTCATTCTCTACATGGTCCTTAAGGTAATTTTCTAAACCAAAAACTGGATTGTCTATGTCACAGCATAAAGCCTCCTCTGCCTGTAGCACAAAGCCCAAACTCCCATTTGTTTCACAGAAGACCAGTGTGTTATGCTTTGCACACTCAGTATGCTCTTCTGTTCCCTCCTCTGCCCTGTATGTCCTCTGCTAGATTTGCCTGTCTTGAAATCTCCCATTCATCTCGGCTTTGATACACTAGGCTTCCCCGCCCCCAGAGAGATCACTCCCACTTTCACCCCTTTAAAGGCCCTTTAGGC